ATTCTTTTGAAAGAATACTATCGCATCCTTCCAATTTGAGCTTCATGGTTCTCAAATCTTGAAATTCCCTCCCGTCAACATTTCCTATGTTGATCCAAAATCTGATCAGGTTCCCAAATGGCAAGTCACTATCCTTAAAGAGTTTGGTGGGATTAGGGATGGATATTTCCAGAGAGGCTATCTTTGTCAAGCTCGGCAAGCCCAACATTACACAATTGCGATGGTATTTCTTCCTTGCCGATCCATCGATCAATGCTTCCCCTTCATATGTAACTCTTCCAATTTGATTAAGCATTTTAGGACGCCAGGCTCGATTGTTTCAAGCTCGTAGCAATTGCTTAGATTCAACAATCTCATATTCATCAATTCCCCGATTTCTTTAGGTAGCCTAGAAATTTTAGACCCTGCGAAGCTGAGAATCTGCAATGCTTTGAGCTTGCCAAGAATTGCCACATCCCCACATTGCAATGGTCTAAATATAATGACCGGAGCTTCTCGAGGAATTCGATCGAGGAAGGTAAAGCGGTGATATGCATGGAGCCGAGATATAGGACTCGGAGCTCCTTCATGTATGTGAAATCCAGTCTACAACAATCTTGCTCATCATGTCGGTGTGCAAGTCTCCTGTCCCAGTCTTTTGGTTGAGACAACATGAGCATCTTCAATTCGGGAAACCCACAACGCATTAGTTCAGCAAGCCCATCACTGCCAACATTAACTTGGCATATTGCCCAACATTTCTCAAGCTTTTCCTTTGACCACGAGCCATAATTGCTATTCATCATTAAGGAATTGTGGCCTCTGAATGGAGTTGAGACGACTATCTCGCTGTAAAGATCATGTATGGTCACATTGTCCTTGTCATCACCACCATCCAACAACAAACAAGCGGAACAGAGTTCATCGAGCCTAGTATTCAATCTATCCCTTGAATCTTCTATCGTGTTATTGAATCCCTCAAACAAGCCCAAACCCATGCCTAGTACCAGCAGAATTTCGACTTGAATGGTCCCGCCAATAAGACCACAGAGCAAGAATAAGGACTTCGCGTCCTCGCTCTTCAAATGGTCGTAACTCAACTTCACTATGGTTTCTATATTTGACTCACCTATTTTTATCAACGTGTTTTTCCATGCAGACACACCGCTATATTTCAAAGTGCTAGCGACAGAGGTAATCAAAAGAGGCAAACCTGCGAGCTTCTTGACCACTTTAGCTGCTATTCGTTTCAATTCCTCGTCTCTGAGCCTGTCGCCAACTATCTTTTCAAATAGCCTAAAAGCTTCGTCGTTGCTTAAACCTTCAAGACAAAATGTTCGATCAGCAAGCATCTTTTGCTCCAGCACATCTTTAAATCTCGACGATAGCAGCAACTAGCATCCCCTGCTCTCCGCTTCCGAAGGAATCCCGACTGCCTTCAAATCAAGTTTAGCCCACAGATCGTCTAATATAATGAGAACCTTCTCAATCGGATCCCTCTGTAACCTCTCCAACAGACGATTTCCTCTGCCGCTTTCACTTTGCACATCCTTCAGATCCAGTTTCAAGGCGTCAGCGATCTCGTCTTGGATATTCTTCAAGACAGGAATCTGCGATACTTTCGCTTGATGATCATGTTGAACGGTCTCCCCTCTTTCCTAAGTTTCTTCTTGCCTTCCTCCAATAGCGTAGTCTTCCCCACGCCGCCAGGCCCGTAGACCCCAATCACTTTTAGCTTCTCATCATCCACAGCTTTCATTATGCCCTGAAAGATGGAAGCTCGTGAATCGGTGATAGTGTCTACCGCATCACCGGCAGAGGAATTCACATTAGGAGCACCGGCGACATGCCCAGGCGGAGCACTCTCATAGTAGACCCTCTCAAATTTACCCTGCCGGAGTACCTGGATGGCCTGGACTGTCTTCCTCGCACCCGTACCGAGACAATAACGCTCCTTTGGATTGGGAAGCCACCCGTAGAAGCAAGTTTTCTTGGCTCTTCCATCGCAATCCAGCATGTCACGCGCCTTGTTGGCGACGGTCTCCACCTTTTCCACCCACTCCTTGACATCAGCTTCGATCTGCTTCATATTGTTCGAGCTTCACCGACGGAATGCTGCACCCTTTGCCTCGGCCTTTCCAGCTGGTCAAGTTCTTCCTTAAGTTTGCCAACGTAGCCGTCGGAGAATATCACGTAGCCACATTGACGACCGATCGGAGCCACCAGGTACTGTGCCACTTGGGAAGCCACAGACAGAGCAATACCCGCCATTTTTCTCCTCTTTGACTTCTATCTTTCTGATTTTCTTCCTCTTTGTAGAAAAATGAACGTTAAGAATTTATGTAGGCTGAGGAAGGCCGAACTGATGGAACCCAAACGCGAAACGACTGAAGAAGAGGAAAGGTTCAATAAGATGAATTGAGAGAGAGAGAGAGAGCTAGTGGCTTGAAGAAAACAGTGAAGGACACAGAGTGAAAATGCGAGATAGGAAATGTGACAGATGAGAAAGAATCCTCAACATGAAGGGAAAGAAAAAAAAAAATGAAAGAATCCTCGGCCATCTCAGGATTTCTTCGCTTGGGAACCTTTAAATAAAGCAAAAAAGAATCCTCCAAACAGGAAAAGATAAATATGAAAGAATCATCTTTCACAAAAGAAATCTCTGCCGCCTCTCTTTTTTCTCTCAATCTCTCTCTTCACTTGTACTGCACTTTGTTTAATCTTCCACCATGATTTCTGCGACTTCAACCCACCAAATGGGCAAGATCGTATTTGGAGTCAATATGAATCCAGGTCATAGATCACGTCATTTGAAATGGGTCGATATTTGATCAACTCATATCCGATTATAGTCAACTGGATTGTCCTATTTTTTGGCCCATTTCTCCCATATGTCAAGAAATAACTCTGTGCCTTTGGTAAGTATAGATTTGACGCAAACAAAGCGATCACGGTCAGCACGCAATACTTCGATTCTAGCATATTCAAGTTTGGTTTTGACTATAATTCTCGCGAACCATAACACAATCTTATATCACCATACATGCTTACTTGAGTGGAATGGCATAAAAGCAAGGACCAATTGACATCACCTCACGTCCGCAACAGTCACAAATCAGCATGTATTGACAAGGTTCAGGCAGGTCCAAAACAAGTTCGAAATTGAATACCTATGATTTTTTTATGAAGAAACAGAACTCAAATACGCTTTTATGACCAGAATAGATCAACAATCTAGTAAAGAAGGAAATTCTCGGCCAAGAACTGGATCAAAATACACACTTGATTCAGTACAGGAATTTCATCAAACAGGTGGTATGCATTTCGGCCAAGGAGCACCAGATCAAATCATCAATACAGCGTGAATAACAACCGATTTTCACGCAGACAATAGCAATAGCTGTCAGCATCTGCTTCGTATATAAAGCAATTGAAAACAGACGAAATGTGGTTTAGTTGAAGGAAGAATGATTAGCTATAGCGATTGACATCGGTTATGAGTAAGGAGACAACAGAAGCAACGTCAAGGAATGGAATCGTCGAAGCACTCAGTCATGACCGACGTTCGAGCACTTCGGCACTACGGACCTTCTTCGCGGCAGCAGAACTGTTGGCGATTGGGAAGCGGTGACGATCATCAGCAACGAAGCGAGGAGGAAAGGATTCGATTGAAATGACCGAGCGAGTGACTTGGAGATGCTCAGAAAATCACCCGAGTCCCTTCGATCGATGCTCTCTGTTCTTGCCCCCCTCTCAGCGTGCCATATCATGTGGTGGCCACAGATGGAGGTGCGGCGGTGGCTGTTGGTGGATGGAGGGCGACGGAGAGGACAACGAAGATCAAAAGGAATCGCCGAGGGCTAAGAGAGAATTTGATGAGCTCCTTCGGCGTGTGGGAAGGTGGCTCTGCTTCTGTCCTGCCCTCCCTCCCTCTGCACAGCGCACCGAGCCTTGAGCATAAAAGGGAATCGACGGTACAGATCGTTAGATGTAGAGAGAGAGAGAGAAAGAGAGCCAGAGAAGTCTGTTGACGGCCACGTGATGCAGAGCGCATGTGGGTCCCACACTGAGAATTGTGTATTAGCTATAATACAAACTGATTTTCGAGTCGAAGGGCCAGGAGCCAAACCAAAGCAGCGAATATTGAAGGAATACCCGACGCCTTATTCTATATTGCCAAACGCCGTTCACCGATTTCATCTTTTACAACGTGCGAAGAGCCAGTTGAATTTTCGTCGTGCTTGGTGGCGTGCCCAGTCATCAACAATGCCTCGGTCCGGCTCTGCTCCGCAGCTTACTATACTCAAGACTTCCAAGGATGGGAAGTTCTCAGAGTACGGTGATTTCAGAGAGTATTTCCCAGGTAAGAAGCTCCTGAATTTCGGCAACGCGAAAAGTCTAAGAGCAGCTAACTTGGAGAAGGCGATTGTCGTGCCGGTCGCTTCTTCCCATTTTTCATAGCCAGCAATTAGTTCCATATCTCCACACGACTCCACCACCAGCTCTTTGATTTGCCCGAGAAATTTCGCCGTGAAGGTAGTGAAAAGTATTTCCAAACGGGAGCACCTCACGGCCTCTATGTATCTCAAGTTTGGGAACGGGACGTTTGGGAGATCATCGGATTGCCAAATGTGCCTCAAGTTTTCGAGATCACGCAAAACCAGCCTCCTCAATTTACCACTCTTTGTATCCGTCCCATCACCTTCGTATATGATCTCGATCGAACCGCATGAAATCACTTCTAGGGTCTTGAGACAGCGCTGCAGCCTCTTCCATACGTGGGATGGGGCGATTCGTTGGAGATTGTCACAGTTCTTCAATTTAAGATATTCCAATTTCCGAAAAGAATTGGTGGGAATTTGATTGTTCCATAGCTCTTTGCACCGTAGGCCTTCAATTTCTAGATTTCTTATGTTGGGAAATTTAACCTGCACGAGAATAATGTGAGAGAGGAGGATAAGTAGGACAAATTTATTACATTGTTCTTTCTAAAACATGATAATGCAAGAGATAAAGCGAACCATCTCATTGAAAAATGGCTGTGGGAATTCATCATTTTCTTCGGCCGTCTTGCCTAACTGCCTCTTGACACTTGTAGGACTCTGGATGAACGCTCCAAAGTTAGGGCACTGCAAAATGCTTAGATGTCTTAAGGAAGGGAAACTCATCACATCCACCTTTGATTGACCGCCTTCTTCCTCAGGAACCACTTCCTTCAACTGTTCGCATTGCCTAATGTCTATCCTCTCGAGTTTCTCTAGCGTTGTGGCTGTGAAATTGGGGAAGAGATATTTCATGTCGGAGCAATTCGTAACACTGACAATTTTGAGACTAGGAAAGCCCCAAATCATTTGGGAGTCGCTCTTCACCAGGCTTCTCATCTTTCCTGCTTTCGTCACTCTCACTTGTTCCAATTTGGGGAGCAATACAGTTGTTTGTTCAGTATTTGCATCAAGGGACCCACAATCAAATAATGAGTCTAGGGAGGGACAGTTTGCAATCTCGACACTATTAAGGTTGTGCAATCTCCCTATGATTGTAGAAGGGAAGACGTTGACTAGCTCAGAGCAATTTATAAGGGTGAGGGTGGCTAATTCGCAAAAGGAACTTTCGGGAAGATCACCGTGCCATATCCTTTTGAAGGATCCTACTAATTCAAGCCATAAGCTCTCCAAGCTTGGTAAACTAACCTGCTTACGAGAATTATACGTTAGATCATAGCTATGAAACATCTAACAATTTGGCCTAATCCTAACGATCTATTTGATGCGATGGAAGAATGAATTTTCACCAGTGGCCTTACTCTGACAAATGTGAACATAAATAATGAACACATATTAACTAATAAAACCAAATAAAATTCTTCAAAGAGATTTTATTACTTGCCCCACCAAGCGTGTGCCTATGACTATTATGGGTATAATCTCAAGAGAAGGGATTTGTACCTTTTGATCAAAGAAGGAATCGGAGTAACCATCTTGGGAATCTGAAGTAGCGGTTACTGGCTCTTTGTTTCCATGAGGATATGAGAAGAATTTCTCCATGGGACAGTTGCGTATAAGTAGGCTCTTTAGGAGTGGGAATTCTATAACGTCATTTGTCCCTTCATCTCTTCCTTCTTCATCCACAATCACCGCCTTCATATTTGGACAATCCTTCACATCAATGTCTCTAAGCTCTCTAAGACATTTAGCCACAGACACCGGAAAGAGAAATGCCAGCCCCGTTTTTATGACCACGAGTTTCTTTAGGCTCCGAAATACCGATATTCCTTGTAATTTTACATCATGTTTCCACATGCACCGCAGGTTGGGTAACTCCCTTATTGTCATTTCCATTAGCCAAGTGAGAATCTTGACATCTCTCGTGACTTTTAGCTCCCCCAGGTCGAAAACTGCTTCCGCTGATGGAGAACTCTCGATTTCCAATGACTCCAAATTCGGCATCTTCAGTATCCAATCTGATTTAAAAAAACTCGACTTTGATCGAGACTCCCTTATCTCTATCGATTTCAGATTGCTGTATTCTAATGGAGGTTGACCGTAGAGTATCTTTTCCAGGTCGAGGAGACCAACCATCTTCAGGGATTCCAAGAGAGGGAATGAAACCTAAACAAAGCGCCGCAAATGGAACTCGTTAAAGGTGCCTTTATTGCAAATAAAGCTACCTTTCAAGAAAATGCTTCAGACTTTTTCATTTATTTGAACATGGGGAAGATGAATCGGTCAACCAACTTAATTTTATTTTTTTCGCCATTGACCGAAAATCTCACTCTAAAATTCAAAAAAAAAAAATAAAAAAACAAATTTCTCTTCCGTGAGAAGGGAAATCATTTTCACGAGGATATCCTCGCCGCTATCATGCTGTCAATGCAGCGCGAACTGCACGGTGACGTTGATACGGTGACGTTGGCATGACATGTTGGAATCAGTTGCAAATTGCATGTTAGGTGAGACACGAATTACAGGGACTTTCTTTGTTACGTGGCTCCTCATTCACCCTCCATTTATTTAATCTCCTGACGTCACTTTCTTTTATTTTGAAATTATTGAATTTTATGTATGCATTCAAGATTCATTCTGCACACTATTTTTTCATCTATTTAAAAAGGTTGAATAAGTAATAAATTAGTCACAGTAGAAACCCAAGTTATCAGTGCAATTATCTAACGTTGAAATTTTTTAAAAATTAAAAATTAAAAAATCAGTCGTGGAAAGAGGCTTCCCTCTAACTATAGTTGAACGTGACTCAGAATATATGGTCTGTGTTCTATTTGAGAGGATTTTTTTTATTTGTAAATCAAAATTTGAATCAAATTGTACAAATAATCAAAGTTTAATGCAATATGTACTAACGTTTAGTGAACGCCAATATCATCTCATCCTAATAGGACAAATTGACAGAGGGAAAAAATGAAAAAAAAAAACTTGGATTGGAGTATCCTCTGATGTCATTTCAGCTCTGGCGCAAAAGCTTGTCATATTTGGTAACTTACCCAATACCAGACGGCGTACTTTAGGCAACACAACTCTGTTGTCGGCGGAAACTATTTCTTCTCCTGCATTATGTGTGATAATGGATTGCATTGAGTCACAATCCCGTACTTCAATCTCTTCCAGCCGTACAAATCTTTGCATATCTGAAAGACGCCACAAGTATTTCAATCGGCCGCACTGTTCGACTTTTACGGCTTTCAATTTGCTGGAGCACTCTGGTGCGATAGTGCCATGGTATATCTTCTCCAAATTAATAAGATTTTTAAGGAACAAAGACTCTAACTTCACAAAAGCAGTGAGAGGGAGGCCGTCGGATGAGTTGGCAATGTACTTGATTGAGGGGCTGTCGTCAATGTCGAGATGCTTCAGTTCTCGGAATCCTTGGGTGCACAATTCGTGAGCGCTCTTTTTGAATTCACTCAACTTGCATAAATTCAAGCATTGAGTCTTCTGCAAAGCTTTCTGAACCCATTCTCTTGAAAGAATATTGTCGCACCCTTCCAATTTGAGCTCCATGGTTCTCAAAACTTTAAATCTCGTCCGTTTTGCATTTCCTATGTCGATCCAAAATCTGACCAGGTTCCCAAATGGCAGGTCACCATCCTCCAAGAGTATGATGGGATGAGGAATCGCTATTTCCAGAGATGTTAGCTTTGTCAAGCTCTTCAACTCGGCAAGCGAAGCACCACATGATTCCAACGGTATTTCATGCCCGCCCATCCATTTATCAAAGCTTCCCTTCATATGTAACTCTTCCAAGTTGATTAAGCGTTTTAGGGCTCCCGGCTCGATTATCTGAAGCGAGTAGCAGTTGCTTAGATTCAACGATTGCAGATTCGTTAGTTCCCCGATTTCTTTAGGCAGCCTAGAAATTCTAGACCCTGCAAAGCTGAGAATCCGCAATGCGTTGAGCTTGCCAAGAATTGCAACGTCCTCCACATAGCAATGTATGCTTAATGACCGGAGGTTCGCAAGAATTTCCATCGAAGAAGGTAAACTGGTGATAGACATGGAGCAAAGACATAGGGCCCGAAGCTCCTTCATATGTGTGAAATCCATTCTACTGCAATCTCCCATCTCGTATTGTTCCGACAACATGAGTATCTTCACATGGGGAAACCGACACAGCATTAGTTCAGCAAGCTTATCATTGCCAACATTTACTAGGCATGCCCAGCATTTCTCAAGCTTTTCCTTTGGCCATGAGCCGTAATTGCTGTTAATCATTAAGGAATGTTGACCACTAAATGCATTCGAGACGACCACCTCACTGTAAAGATCATGTATGGTCACATTGTCCTCGTCGTTGCCATCCAACAACAAACAAGCGGAACGGAGTTCAATGAGCGCAATATTCAATCTATCCCTTAAATCTTGTATCGTGTCATTGAATTCCTCAAACAAGCCCAAACCCATGCCTAGTACCAACAGAGTTTCAACTTGAATGGTCCCACCGATAAGACCACAGAGCAAGAATAAGGACTTGGTGTCCTCACTATTCAAATGGTCATAACTCAACTTCACTATGATATCTGTATTTGAGTCATCAATTTTTTTCGACGAGATTCTCCATGCGGCCTGTCCGCTATATTTCAAAGTGCTTGCAACGGAGTTAATCAAAAGAGGCAAACCTGCGAGCTTCTTGACTACTTCATCCGCTATTTGTTTCAATTCCCCATCTTTGAGCTTGTCGCCGACCGTCATTTCAAATAGCCTGAAAGCTTCGACGTCGTTTAAACCTTCAAGACGAAATGTTTGATCGGCATGCATCTTTTGCTCCAGCACACTTTTATCTCTCGAAGTGAGCAACAATTTGCATTTCATGCTCTCGTCTCCCAAAGGAATTCCAACTGCCTTCAAATCAAGTTCCGCCCACAGGTCGTCCAATATTATGAGAACCTTCTCACTCGGATCCTTCTGTAATCTTTTGAACAGAAGATCTCTTCTTCCCTCTTCACTCGGCTCATCCTTCAGAATATTTAGACTCAAGGCGTAAGCAATATCGTATTGGATTTTCTTCAAGTCCGGAGTCCGTGAGACTTTCGCTTTGACAATCATGCGGAAAGGTTTCCCCTCTTTCCTGAGTTTCTTCTCGACTTCCTCCAACAACGTAGTTTTTCCCACGCCACCAGGCCCATAGACTCCAATCACTCTGTGCTTCTCATCATCCAGAGCTTTCATTATGCCCTGAAAGATGGAAGCTCGCGATTCTGTGATAGTATCACCCCCATCACCGGCCAAGGAATTCGTGTCCGGAGCGCCTCGGTCACCGGCCAAGGAATTCACATTGCGAGCGTCAGGAACCAGCCCTGGCGGAGCATTCTCACAGTAGACCTTGTTGAATTGCCCCTTCGGAATGAGTTCCTGGATGGCCTTGACTGTCTCCCTTGCCTCCTTGACAACATCATAACGCGCCTTCGGAATGGGAAACCACCCGTAGAAGCAAGTTTTCTTTGCTTTTTCGTTGCGTTCCTGGATGTCGCTCGCCTTGTCGGCTACGGATTTCGCGTCTGTCGCCCATTTCTCGACGTCGGCTTCAATCTGCTTCATGCTGTTTTGAGCTTCGACGACAGAATGCTGCACCCTTTGCCTCGCTCTATCCAGGTTCGCAACTTCATCCTCAAGTTCGCGAAGGTAGCTGGCGTAGAATATCACGTAGCTGCATGCACGAACCACTCGAGCCACCAGGCCCTCTGCCACTTTGGAAGCTACAGACACAGCAACATCCTCCATTTTGCCCCCTTTTTGACTTCTATCTTTCTGGCTTTCTTTCTCTTTTTTTTTGTTGAGAAATGAAAGTTCAGAATTTCTATATGCGGATGAAGGCTGAACTGATGGAACCAAGAAACGAGATGACTGAAGAAGAGGAAAGATTCAATATGATGAACACATTGAACAGCTGAAGAACAAACCCAGCAGAGAGAGAGAGAGAGAGAGAGCTAGTGGCTTGAAGAAGACAGTGTAGGACACAGTGGAGGACGATGGGAAATGTGAGATGGCGTGTATGAGATCTGCTGAAGCTCCGTATAAATAAAGGGTGGAAGTCTAGAGCGAGAAAAAAGTCATGCGGACGTTACAACTGTTAGAAAAAGGGGCACATGGCTTTAACACATGTCGCGTGACTACATTATAAACACATACACATTCGTGACTCACCCCCTAATCATCTACACAATGTCATCTAATCATCTACACAATCTCAAAAAGAATGAATGCCTCCATTTGATTGTGCTTGACCTCAAAGCACCCAAAATACCTTTCTTCGAAAAAAAATTTCTCCAACGTCCTCTGCTCTGATAATTAAAGACAAGTGAGCCCATTCCACCATTTCTTTGTATTAAAATTGCCTTTGGGGCCGCACCGCGTGCAATCCGATTGTCCCGCACCATCACCGTCATCCTCTATGAAAGCTTACCATCAACATTTAATATATTCTTCCCAATTAGAGGGAATTTCCTTTCACTTATAATGAAAGAGAATAAACTAATTCTGAAATTTTGTGTTGTTCTCATTAGTAGCCGTAATAACTCGTTATGTTTTTTTTTTTGGTAAAGTTTAACTCGTTATGTTTTTCATCAGCCTAATTTTCTAAAAAAAAAAAATCCCAATTTTAGATTCAATTTCTGCCCCAAACTTTTTTTTTATCTAAAAAAGTGCCTAACTTTGATTCTAGTCCAAAATCCACCCGCGCATCCAAAAAATATCACAAGTTTTTTTCGAAATTTTCATCATCGAGGATAGGTAGAAGTTCATTATCAAAACTTGTGTCTTCATCAACATCTTCACCTTTGTACGGAAAACAAAAGCATCCTGATGTATGTTGGTGATTTTGAAGAAACTATTAGCGATTTTTGGACGCGTAAACAGATTTGAGACCAAAGTGAAACATTAGAGATTTTTTTAGACAAAATAAAAAGTTTGGGGCACAATTAAAATCTGACCTAAAATTAGGGACTTTTTTAGGAAATTAGCCCGTCTTTCATCCGGTTTTGAATTTTCTTTTAATTTATAGTTCAGCCGTTGTGGCGATGACAAAGAGCCAAAGGGAACGGTCAATAGTATATCGAAAAGTAATGCCTTATTTAATCTCTAAGCTATTTTATTCAACGAAAGTAATCAGAATGATCGCCATCAGCTCGGCCCTATCCTACAATTTAGATTCACTTTTTGATTCATGCGGAGAAGTTACGTATATTATATAATTCTAGTGCGGCGGGAAATGTTAACAATAATTTTATTTAAGACTAGGTCCGGCATTTTGGATGTTGATCAACATGCTAAGGATTTTTTTTATGTGAAATTTTATTTTTCTATCGTCTTTTTCTGGACCAAAATCAGCTTCTACAAATTTCGCTATTATGACTTGACTGTTGCACTTTCACATGAATTGCAACTTTTTTTTCTAAAATACCAAACACAGTATTACATGAAATTTGCCCAATTAATCTTGCACATATTGTACGTCTCACAATTTAAACCTTAGCATTTCTATTTTGCCAATGTAGAGTCTTAAGCATTTTTCAATGTAGTCTATTCAATCAATTTAGGTCAAGAAATTTTGATGTGGAGATACAGTCAGCGCCGGCTGTCCTACGTTGCACGACCGATGCTAACATAAACAAATTTACTCAAAATTGACATTGTTTTAAGTACATTTTCCATTTTTTGAATTTTTTTTTTCATACTTTTCTTTTCTCTTTACAATGACACTGTTCATCTTCTTCTTAACGATGAACATTGAAATGAAATGCTCCAGTGACTTGGTAGCTCTAATTCAAGCGTGACTTCCGCCATCCTCACCTTATGAGCTATGGGAGTACCTATGACTGAGGAGGTTGTGGAAGAAATTTTTGGTCGACTAATTTGGTCACGTACCACAAGTCGCTTGCTCATGGGTCGCTCAATCCCTTTTTTGCTCATTAAGCAAAACAACATCGTTTTGAGTAGAGTTGTACACGTTGGATCAACGGTCGTGCCACGTAGGACAGCTGACGCTGACTAAATCTCCACGTTATAATTCCCTAGTCTCAATTGACTATATAGACTACATTGAAAAATCATCAAAAGGTTTCAGACTATATCGGCCAGATTGGGAAGCTTCAGTCGTGTAATAGGTTTAGGATTAGTTGGGTAATGTTTCCCAATTTTTACTCATTCAAAACATGAAAAGGATTTATATCCTATAATTAGATGCAATATCATTATCCACCAGCGAAAGCCAAATAGCACAATCAAGAAAATACTTGTTTTTCCCCATAATCTAACTTCTCGAAGCCTATCATCAATGTTTCTTGGACTTCCTTGGGCGCAATGACCCATAACATCTTCAAGGCATATATTCACAACTATGAATCTCTACAAGAAAGAAATGAACTAATGACCTCAAGAGCTAAAGGAATATTTTCCTAATGACAAAATGACATGTTTCGAGAGGTTGTGATAATCATTTGGACGCGAGCCTCTTCTAAAAGGCAAGTCTCTTCTAAAGGCATAGCTGTTGAAAAGTTGGAGGGCTTGATTAAAATATATTTTCCCTACCTCATAAGCCAAAAACCTGTTTGGTTGCTTCACGATGTCCTGGTCAAATATTTCCTCCCAGGTCATCACGATGCTTTTGTCCTGGATTGTAATTATTATCCTGCTTTCAAAACCAAACCAATCATAATTCCTCGCTAGTTTCTTGAATTGCTCCTCCAAGCCATGCGTAAAACACTATTAGAATGATGCACTACCATGTTTCAAGTCTCGTCGTTCAAATTTTCTCTTTCAGCATTTGAGCTAACCCAAAAGGACAAAAAAGAAAGAACATTAAATTCTCCTAAACAAATTGAAATTTTAAGGGTTCGATGCTAAGTGCGAACTGCTCCCACCATGTATTTGACTTTTCCAGTATGAAGAGAAAATTATCTATTATTATCATTATTGTCGAAAGATTCTTTTAAATTATGGTTTTGTTGACACTCGAGAGAAATTTGCACATCTCAAATTTCACATCAAATAAAAGAGGCGATTTCTTTTTTGAGAGCATGACTCGTAAAAAATTGGATAGGGTCATTCTATAGAATAAAGCGGGTTTTAGGAATTGGGTGAAAAGAGGGGAGGAAATAAAGACCCCAAGGTATACGAAGAGAATGGTAGAGAAAGATTTTTCCGTGGGCCCATGAGATATTTCCCTCGGGTTAATTCCAAAACTAAGCACCAACTTTAGATTGAGGGACAATTCTGGTCCGAACTTTTTTTTGTCCCATAAAAAAGCATCAACTTTAGGTTGAGAAATAATTCTGGCCCGAACTTTTTTTTTTATCCTGCAAAAAAGCACAAATTTTAGGACGAGTGACAATTCTGGCCCTAACTTTTTTTGTCTCGTAAAAAAGTACAAACTTTCAGCTAAAATCCAAATCTGGCCCCCCATTGACTTTTTGTCTGAAGTCACCATTGTTTGAGAAAAAATGTTATAGTGGTGAGTCTGACAAATCTTATCCATGGCGTTTGTCGACGGGCGATGGTCTACAGCTTCAGATTACGACAAAACAACAAAGTCTGGTCAGAAAGATTCAATCTGAAGATATTTTTTGACTTGCTGGTGAAGTGAAGGAGACGAACAGTTTCACCGTTATTCTTCAAGCTGTGGCTCAGAGAATAAGACAATGAATAATGCTTTAAATCCAATCAGTAAGTCACATGGATTTATTACTAAGGTAGAGTAGTCAAGTTGAATAATCAATAGTTTTAAGTCAATGGGAGCTAAATTTGGGATTTAAGTGAAAGTTGGTGATTTTTTACAAAACAAAAAAAAGTTGGGGCCAGAATTGTCACTCGATTTAAAGTTAGTGCTTTTTTACGGGATAAAAAAAAGTTCGGGCCAAAATTATTCCTCGATCTAAAATTGGTACTTTTTTATGGGAAAAAAAATTCGGATCAGAAATGTCCATCAACTTAAAATTGTTACTTTTTTCTTTTTTTTTTGGAATTAATCCTATTTCCCTCCAAAAAAGTGGGAGGAAATAGAGGGAAATGCAAAACGAGTTCCTTTTTCCCGTAAACGACGAGTTCATTGGGCCGTAATATATTGAATTTTCTGGACTCTTTGTCATTTCGAGATGGGAAATGTGACAGATGCCTGAATGGAATAGGTTGAAGATCCAAAAATGTCTACGAAGGTGTCAGCAACACATGCAAAATTTTCTCGAGAGAGAAGATGGTGGTGAGGGACTCAGAGTGAATGGGAGAGGGGAAATGTGATGGATGTCGACAACGAAGCTGCCGGCAACAATTTCGATGAAGGATAGAAGACGGTGAAGAACACGGAGTGAATGTGAAACGGAGGGCTAATTCCAAAAAAAAAATATCAATTTTAGATCGAGGAACAATTCTGATCCAAACTTTTTCTGTCCTATAAAAAAGCATCAATTTTAAGGCGAGAGACAATTTTGGCCCGAACTTTTTTTTGTTTCATAAAAAAGCACAAACTTTAGATCGAGTAACAATTCTAGCCCTAATTTTTTTTTATCTCATAAAAAAGGGTTAATACCACAAAAAATCATAAACTGGTACACCTGTGACAGATTTACCCCAAACTATTTTTTTGACCACCAAAAATCCCAAACTGGTACATTTGTGACAATTTTACCCCAAACTATTTTTTTGACCACCAAAAACCCCAAACTGGTACACCTGTGACAATTTTACCCCAAACTAATTTTTTAATATTATTTTTTCGAATTTTTTTAGTTTTTCTTTTCTTTTTCCTTTCCTTTTCTTTTTTTTTTTCTTCATCTTCTTTATCTTTAACCTCTGACCGGCGAGGTCCACCTCGCCTCGCCTCACCTCGCCCCGGGTGAGGTTCAACCTTGCCAGTTGCCGGCGAGGGGTCGTTCTTGCCGTCTCTGGCGAGGCTCAGCCTCGTCGGCAACTGGCAAGGTCAGCCTCGGCCAAAAGCGACGAGGTTGAGCCTCGCCAGCGACGGCGAGGACGACCCCTCACCGGCAATTGGCAAGGTCGGCCTTGCCCCACCCCTTGCAAGTTAATGTGTGCACAACCACATATAATTATATATTTAG